CTTTGGGATTTTTTTATGAGGGATTTTTCAGTTTTCAAATAGGGAACAACAGAATTTCTGCTAAGGCGGTAAGTGACAGGACCCAGGCAGAGGAGCCTGCTCTGAGCTGGCACCTTGGACCCAGATTGTGGTGGCTGACCTCCTGGGCAACCAGGGCCAGGAGGACATGCTTTGACAGTTCAAAGCAGGCCACCACACTGGGAACATCTTCTGGGCGCTAGCTGCCCAGATGGCCGGGCAGGGGCACCCATGGCAGTAGTGCCGCACAAAGGCCAACTCTACAGCCACAGCCCATTGGCAGCTGGCCCAGAGGGGCAGATACCTCTACTGTCTGTGCAGTCCCCATCTGGGTTTCGCAGGCGCGCATCTTTGGGACAGGGCAGCTTTTTACACTACTGGGGCCAGAACAGGTGCTGGCCCCACACTCTAGCTCCCCCTGGCTGCAGATCCAGGAGGAGCCAGACAGGGTTATTTTGCCCAAGTGGCAAAACTTGCACCACACCAAAGTGCACATCTGGGCATGTGCGTGGAGGCGAAAAGCCCCAGCTAAAATTTGCACTGCTTCTGTTTGAGCTGCTGCAAGCACACATGCCTGCATGTGTGGACATGCCCCATGAGCACTACCAAACAGAGTTGAGCAGGTCCTGAACAAAGAGTAACTGCAAAGGTAGCCAAGAAGAAACTGTTCAGAATCAGTTCAGGAAACCCTCGATCTGCAGGTTTTAATCAGAATTTCTAAAATTATATTTTTAGAAAGAGACTTTGACCTCAGCTTTACTTGCAATCTAATATTCAGCAGCAGTGAAATGGTAGGAGTGATAATACTATATTCTTCAGTGTAAAAAATGTTGCAAATATTACATTGATTAGGACCATGGAAATATCAATGATGACTAAATACAAGGAACCTGACTTCTAAACAAAAATCAACTAACTGGTTTACATGACATAAGAGTAAAACAGCTACCCATGCTCAGTCAGGAAACCTTTTGGTATGCATTAAAATTGGGTTAAATACATCACTCTCATGGGGTTGGTAATGACCACTAGTAATCCAGTCATTTATTACCAGTATTTAGCCACTTTTAATTATTCTACATGCCATACTGGAATATAATAAAGAACTTTTTTGACATTTGTAATGAAGCTATATTATAAAAATCTCAAGTGCAAATTGTACGCACCCTGGGTTGAGAATTACATTACCCAGATAAATGCTAAACGTACACTTTCTTACTACAAAAATTCAGAGTGCTTGCTATATAAGAATTACATAATTATAAGGGAATAAAATAGTCTGTTAAAGAATGTTGCTCTTGCATGCACTCACTGCCAACATAAAGGATAATTCTGCATAATGGAATAATTAATCACCTATGTCTTGTTGAGCCAAGAAAAGCTGAAGAGTATTCAATGCTTTGTGAGCATCAGCTGGCTTGACAGATGCTATGGAGGACATAGTTCAGTACCTCTAAAGCCATCTAATTATCAGGAACAAATTCAATTCTGATTTAGTATGCCTCCCCAGCTGGAGGCCGAGGGATGTTCATTTGGAAATGACTAAGTATGCTTTAACAGATGATGGATTAGCCTAAGTGTTCTGTGTACAAATCAACAGGAATCTGGTCAGGATTCAGAGCACCACATAATAAGACCACAGTGACTATTTTTCCCAGCAATTAATTAAGCAGATTCCAATATAACTTTTTTTCAGCAAACACCACTTTATTTGAAAAACTGCACTCACTTATTCCCTTCACGTGGAAACATCTCCAACATTTCTCTCAGTGTCTAACCAGGGGGTGGAACCCAGTATTAACTTACAGCGCAAAACAGAAACCCATGCGAGTCCCCACTCTCTTCCACCAACTACATAACTCCCTTCCCTTTCTCCTTCACATAAAGATCTTAGACGACTAACCTGGTTTTCATCTTGTAAAACTCTATACTGCTCCTTCCAAACAGTGATTTTGGAAGCTTCATCTTTTCTTAGTGCTCTTTCCTTCTTTAGCTCAGGACTCCAGAAGGTCTTGATGCTGTTCATGGAGGAGCTCAGCTTGCTTTCTTTCACCTCCACATCCTTGCGCAGCAGATCATTTTCCCGCAATACCTCTTTGAGCTGTGTCTGCAGATCCATTATAGTATTATCCCTGGCCTGGCGCAGTGAGTGAGGCACAGTGGATGCCATGCTCACTGGAGGAAGGTGGTGCTCTCCAAATGCAATAGTATCACTGGCAACACCACTACTGGCAATGTTAGGGCTGCTACCCATTGCAGTCATTCTCACACCATAAGGCAGCCGTCCACCGGATCGACCGAGAGTCATGGTACTTTTAGGGGTGTCTGCACCCACGTTCTCATGGTCACTGAGATACATAGGGCCAGATGTGGCATAGGCAGCATTTAAGGATTGAATATTTTCCATGGAAAGTGTCTTCCCACTGCCACCTCCAGTACTGCTTCCAGAGCTCCCACCAGTGCTGTTGGTTCGACGGTGACCCAGGCGTGGTGATCGTGGCAACCTTGGTGAACGCCCTGGACTCTGGTTGCTTGGTTCAACCTTACCAACTGACCGAGTGCTTCCGTACATGGCTGAACTGGTGGTGTGAGGAGACTATATAGATGTAAAGCAGAAAGGAGAGATCCTGCAAGGCTTTGCTGTGGTTGAAAGTCAGTTTAAGGCCAATCACAATTTATTGCAGATCCAGTTGTCCATGTTTGAAGTCATGTACTCATGGTGTTCGAGCTCGTATCTGTATCAATTAAAGCAACACAAATTAAATATCCATTTTATCAAAATACATCAGTTTTTATCCCACACCTTCAATTAGTGCTCCATTTCTCTAATATGCTCCCAGCTAGTTGTCATCGTCAAAAATGCAATTTACAAATAGTTTTTGAAACCAGAAAATTTGAAACTCAAGTAAATTTTTTATTCTCTACTCTTCCTCCCCTACTTTGCCATTTATGTTGCTATAGGCATAGCCTGAACCAGAACAGCGTATTTTTTCCCCTTGCAAAGAAGACTTCAATCCTCATCTGCAGCTTATGCCTGGAGTTTAAACTTTATAATTAAGATGAAGGACCTGCCCAGTAGACAAAATTCTTCCCTATGTAAGAACACTAAGCTTCTGAGTCTTCAGTCCCAATGGTTGTGAAAACCCTCCCATAGTTGCAAGTGTAATGTACACTAACGCAGTGTTTTCTTAAGTCTACTGGTAGACAGCTCCAGTCCTATTAACACCCCTAAAACTGTCTTTTATTTTTACTGCCGCCATTTACATTAAGTAGTCAGCACCAAAACTGACAAGACCATAGCACTTTTAATTTCTGTTGCTACCAGCAAAGTTCTAAGTAGCAAACGGTATAGGTATTATAGCTCTATTATGCTATAAAAGACCCAAATATGAAACTTGAGAGAGTCTTGTCCTCATCTCTACCCACTTACTCATGTAAATGCATCTCTACTCCATATCCTCAAGTCTATCCATTTAGCACAAAGGGGAAAAAAGAAAAAAAAAGAATGCCCTTTCATCCTTTTAAAATGCATCGTAAGTTCAAGTGTTTTCACACACATTAGACAGGGCTAATAAAAATAGAATCCCTGAATAAAGTCCAGGGAGAACACTCTGATATGAATCACAGCAGCGCTCCTTTCACATAAACTGGAGTGAAATTAAGCTGATGTCTCATTTGTGCACTTACACTAGCTACTGTCTCATCCTTTCCCTTGTATGTCAGCTTTCGCCAATAAGTGTGGTCCTCTGGCTGTGTCTCTAGCAAAATTGTCCAGATCTACACATGAGTGTGTGTCTATGACAAGGTGAGTAAATTGAATTAAAAAAAACTGATGGAAAATATTAAAAAGAAAGAGCACAGTGTTGAAAGAGACAGTAAAAATGGGTAGAGAAACAAATACATGAATCAGAAGACGCAATACAGAGAAAAATACTGGGACAATGGGCGACTGGTATCTCTCAAGTCTGGGGGGGGCACCAGCCAGCCAATTGCCAAAAGAGGGGGGAGAGGATCCCCAGCAGCCAATCACCAAACCAGTGGCAAAACCAGAAATGCACTTCTGATTCTGGTTGGCGCTTCCAGGGGGTGCACGGCTGATATCAAGAGGTGCACGTGCACCTGCATGCACCCCCTACACATCGCCAGTGACTGGGACAACAGTAGAGAGAGGACAAAGAGGGGACAAATACTGAAGACAAAGAAAATATACATAATGAGCTGTTAAAGAAAAGGAGTAAAAATTGAGTAAAGAGACAAAAAGATAGAGTCCCATTTTTTGAATGTATGAAATATAAAAAAACATAGCACAGAAACCAAAAGCTGCTATCAACTCAGCAGCAGCTACAAGAGGCTGAAACTGGACTCTGCCCCAGATGAATGCAAGCCCCAGAGAGAAGGGAGAGAAGTAGAGCCTTCAGCAGCCATTTTAACGTGCCCATGCTTCTATTTCAGTGTAGAAATTGCCTTCCCTGCTTAAGACATACAGGTTTCCCTTAATTTATGCAATACATGCATTCCCAGAAAGCTGCACATAAATCTAATTCGCATAAAGGGAACTCAGTTTACAATGTAAGAAACAGGGATACATTCTAATGGCAGTGAGGGAGGGAGGGAGTAAAGCTGGGACTAGGGAAGGGACGGTGGGAAGGGTGCATCAGCCACTCCAGGGGCTGCAGCGGAGAGCAAAGCAGAGGAAACTGAGTGGGTGCAGGGTGTGGGACGAGGGGGCACAGCTCTTGCTGCTACGTGCACCCCGAGAGGGCTGTGGCTGGGGGCCACACTCTTCCCAGGGGGTGCGTGTCCCAGGATCTGTATGTGGGAGGAGAGCAGGCTTCTGCTGCAGACTGGAGCCAGCAGCAGCACTGGGCTCTTCACTGCGCTCAGGGCAAGCTGCGGAGATGGGAGGGGGGCTGCTGCCACCTCAAAATTTGCCATAGCCCCGACCCCAGCCTGCCCTCCCAGCACTGCCACCAAGTGCCAGGAAGAGCCTGGTGCCACTGCTGGCAGCCTGTTCTCCTCCCACACACAGATCCAGCAGCATGCACACCCAGAGAAGAGTCCAGCACAGCCCCCCAGCCCACAGCCCCGCCAGGGTGTGCCTGGCAGCAAGAGCCATACTCCACTCCTGTCCTGTCCCATGCCCTGCACCCACACAGTTTCCTCTGCTCCCTGCTGCAGCCCAAGGAGTGGCCAACAGGCTGCACCGCACCCCTCCCCCTCCCCATATAGATTTACCTGATCATACCCCAGGCCTCCACTTCTCCCCACTCACCCCACCCCTACTGCAATGGCCTCAGGAACAGCTGACACCACCTGCCTGCACCACAGCATAGCGTAGCCCAGGGGCTGGGGTGAATGGGGACAAGCAGAGCCCTGGACCTGATGGCATAGGAGTGAATTTACGTCGCATATAACAAATTTGGGGTATACAAAGGGGTCATCTCATAGGAGCGAATTTGCACATACAGAACCCACATAAATCAAGGGAAACCTGTACATCCCATTTCAGGGGGCTAATTTTTGACGGAAATATGCATGTGGTATGCAGATATATATAGTATTGCTAAAATGCTGAATTTAGGTCTGGTTCCATCCATACTGAAGTGTTTTCGTACCTAAACCTTTTCTCAAAGTGGTCAAAATATATCTAGGTAGTTGGAAAAGAGCTGATCTTAGTAAACTACTGGCTACACAGGAGCCTTCGGAGAGAGAGGACACGGAAAGGCTTATCTACCTCTATGTGAGCCAGCTGCCAGTGCTTTGGTCAGCCTAATTGTAATGGTCAATATGCTACACTCCAGATCTTGAACACTGGCAAACAGACCATTTTTTCTTTTAGAAGAAATGAACTGGAAGTCAGCTTAAGCAAAACTGTCCTCAAACTAATCTCATAGTGTCTAAATGATTAGTTTGAAAAAGCAACTCCACCTCACTGGGCATGAAAAACAGATTACACATAATTGCCAAAACAAAAGTGCGTTCACTGATGGCTTGTGTACATGAAGACTCTCAGGAAAGACTGTCTGAAATAACAGGGGGGGAGAATTTAAAGCTTATGAGTGAAATAGCACTGAACTCCAGTAGCACACTTATTCTGAATTTAAGCATCCTTAATTAGGTTTAGCTTAATTCAGCTGAAGGGTACTATGTATTTTGTTCTATGCATTTCAATTTAACAGAACACTTAAACTCAGCTTAGTTGCTTAAAAATGTATATAACATCCAATGCAGTGAAAAGCATGGCAACACTGATACAAATACAAAATTGGAAAGTACAAAGGCATCAACTAAATCCTTGCATTTCTGAATAATGAATTTGAAATCAGCACAACAAAACAAAAATCTTTTGGTGGACTGTTATATAAATCATGACTCCAGAAGGCACAGTTAAATACAGATTCAAAAAACTTTGCTTTAGCCAGCATTTTGTCAAACTATTAATAGCTTCTTTAGAGAATGAAAACGAATGTCATGTCCTTGACAGAAAAGTAACTTCCCAAGTAGCTGAAGGCAGCTGGTCCCGCACAATCTTTTTTATTAAAATGATGTGCTAATCTACCATGCAAACAGATTTATACTTTACACCTTAAGTGAAAATAAGGCACATGATAATTCAGCTCTCAGTACTGCTTAGTAGACAGACAAACCCTCCTCGTCACCCAAGGGAATTAAGTTACCTTAACCACAGATATCAACAACTAATCAGAACCTGGTGCTCAGTTAAGACTTTCTGGGGAGTCACTGGAAGTTTGTTTTTATTGTTTAAATGAGAAAACCTAACATGCAAAGAAGTTCTTAAGGAACTGCGCTACGTCTCTTCCTCATATTATATTGTCATAAACTCAAAATCAACAGTGAATGAGTCCCTGAAGATTGGGAGCCTCTCAATATTTCTAGAATTTTAAGTTTTCAGTTTAAAAAAAAGTTTCTAGCCTTTATGGCTGTAGATACTCTTCAAATATTAACTAAATGCACCTACCCAAGCATACAATCAGCTTCAGTGCCTTTTGTCAAGAAAAGATTTATCAAGCTACAGAAGTATGGAATTTATACTATGTACTCAGTTGCTATTCCAAACCCTGGTAACAGGGTAGTTGCTATTCCAAACCCTGGTAACAGGGTTACTACCAAAGAACGTGAATTTCACCTTGCTGCCATCTGGAAACACTACAAAGAGGAGCAGAGGTGGATGCTGAATGTATTCACTAGCAAAGCCTCTGCAGAATTAGAACTGAGTGGAGACTCTTTTTCTCATTTGCAGTAGGCAGTATTTGGAAGAATGGAATGAAAGCTCTAGCTTCTTTCCAGGAATCCCAGGAATGAGAGAAGGACTATTAGGGTAAGAAAATTTGTCTTAAACCCTGGATGTAGATATAGAACTAATGAAGTCTATGGATAGCACCTTAGCAGGAATCTTAGCAAAATATTCTCTATGCTTTGATGACACTTCCCACATTTTATATTAACTTTTGATTAACAGACATCCAGTAAACTGAACAACCACTGCATCATGTGTCAGTCCTATGAATTAAGTACATTAGAGAGACAGACACAGTACTAAGTTGCCTGCCTGTTGCCTAATACGAATTTAACCACTCTGGCAAGAAGGTAGACAAAGGAATAAAGAATCAAGTTGGAACAACAAGTCAGATAATTAACTAGTTAATATATTTCACAAAGTGCTTTCAATAGGTTAGTCTAATGAAATCATGGAACTTGAAGTTTCACAAAG